TCTAATATGCAGCTAATATGGAAAATGTATGGAGTATAACTTCTATTCACACCTAAAATCATAATGCAATCATGGATACAACTAAAAATAATTTATGATTTCATGTCTTGGTAAATTTTCTTAGCAAGTTTACAATAAGGCACTATTCACTTATCAAAGAAAAAAATTCTCTCCAGAAAGGGGCCGGGTGGAATTTTGCACATCTCTGTTAATGTCCTACAGGACTGGATTCTGACTTTTGCAGGAGTTTTGTTTGAAGAGGAACAGGGGACTAGGACCTTAGGGGCATGTCTACACTTGGGAGTCATTTCTGAATAACTCCCCTCATTTTGAAATAACAAGGTGAGCATCCACACTACCACGCCTGTTATTTTGAAATAATGGGCTTGCTATTTCAAAATAAGAACTGCTTCTGAAGAGTAATGAGCTTATTTCGAAAGTTATTTCGGGAGTTATTATTTTGAAATAAAAAAACCTGGTACTATAGATATAGCCTAAAGCATTAAATATTTTCTGCAAAAATTATCTAGTAAATTAACTTTGTTATTGTTTAGGAACAATCTGTATGATCTTTTCACACAGGTACCAGAGTGGCACTACCATGTGATGGATCAGTGGAGCCTTGATCATGATCTATAAGCACATACATGAGGAAAGGGTTTCTGATAGTAAAGGATTCTCAAGTTTTGCAGACAAAGCATACCAGAATCTAGTGGTTGGAAGCTGAGAATTTAGATGATTTCAGACTAGAAAATGGGTACAATAGTGAAGGCAATTAACAACTGGAATGATTTATGTAGGGATGTTGTGGAGTCTGTCAAAGTATGCACTATTGCACAGCCCTGTTGCTGAAAGTCAGCCTTTGTAAATGGTTTTTGTCAGCAATTTTGCAGACAAAATATTTCTATCCCTACCAAGCTACTTTCACTTTGCTAGCTGGTGTGTGTTCACATTTGTACTTGCCACATCAAAACTGTTGTGCATGGGAGGGATGTTTAAGCACCCACAGCACTGACAAGAGACTTCACCAGGACCTATAGGGGTTGGAGCCCTGTGTAGAAGAGGCGAAGCTGGGGCTAGCTTCCCCCAGCCAGCCCTTCAATGCTGCTGGGCTGCAGGTTATGTACACTGGGTATTTCAACTGCAGCCAAGGTACCAGCAGCAGTGACTGGGAGTCCCAGGCCCTTTTAAATTGCTGGGCCCTGTGTCAGTCGCCCATCAGTGACCTTGAGCACCCATGAATGACAAATGTTTTGTGGATCAAGTGTAGTCATAGCTGCATAGGTTTCATAAAATTCGGTGGGCTTGTATGATGCAGGATGTCAGCCTAGATGATCATGATCCTTCTGATTTTAAAGTATGAATGCATTAATAACATAGGGTCAGAGTTTTCACCATTTGCTGAATTACTTAACTTACTCACACAGCTAGTTTCACTGTTTAAGCATCAGCTACTATGAGTAAAGGACACCTGTGCCACATAGGGCACAATCTTGCAAGATGTTAAGCACTCAGGCTCTAATGTTGCAAAGTACGTGCTCAGCTTTACACACTTGAGTATTTTAATATAGGATTGGGGTGAGGTTCTTGGAATCTTGCAAGATGGAGCCCACAGACCTTAACAAATAAGAGGTGTAGACGAAACAGTTGTGAGGATGAGCCTTTGAATTACCTGAATGCCACCTGAGGTGGGAATTCTGTACTGGCTGCAAATACAAGAGGAAAGAGGGGTTGGATTGCTGTAGCCATGGTTATATGGCTCTAATGGCACAAAGCCCTATGTGTGGGCAACAAGTCATTATTCAAGTCCATGAATTGAAACAATGATCACGGCCGGCTTGTGGTTTAAAGGCTGAATTTCCCTGTCCCTGTAGAATCTCCAGCACAAAGTCTGATTTATTTAGGCTACGTGTAGGAATGGTGAATTTCACTCCCAGTGAAGAGGAAGATCAATAGCTATGACAATATAGACGTTAAAAATTCATAAACTATAATAATCTCCTAAACTATTGTAATAAAAGGTAAATCACATTCAGGTTTGTGACATGGTTTTAACTATCATTTAAAGTGTTTGTTTGGAAGGGGTTAGTTGGTGCACTTTGAATAAAATGCATAACACTAATTAGGGTACTATATCTTATGTTAATACAGTATAACATTGCAATTGAGATTAATCAGCATTGTGGGTTTGAGTTTTCTCTCACTTATATTAGTGTAAATTAACTCCACTAACTTCAGTGGAGTGACATCAGTCTAAAACAGTGGTTTTTAAACTTTTTGGCCTGTAGCCCACCTGGCTCAATGCAAACCTTTCCGTGGACCACCCGCTGCTAATGGAAACTCGCCATTAATTATATAATTAGGCCTGAGCCATTTTACTAGTGCTGCAGCTAGAGAGAATAGTTTAATTTAACTAGTAAGCACAGAGATAGTAACTGAAATTATTAAATAGATTAAGAGCTTTAACTTTCTGTAACTTTGATTAGTTTACCAAACTTCATTTTAAATAAAGTAAAATATTAATTTATGCCCAACTCAAAAGTTTTCAACATTGTCTTTATTTATGGTAGGCCTGGGGAACCTTTTTTGGGTCAGGAGCCACTAACCCATAAAAAATCAGTTGTGGGGGACACAGAAGTGAAAAGTAAAAAAACCCCAAACCCTCCAAAACCTCCCAGTCCTCACTGATGTGGTCCTCAACTGAGACACCTCACTCCACTGGCACTCCAGCCCCATGGGAGGGATGGAGAGAGGGGCAGGGAGGACTGAGCGTCAGGTCTTTTCATAGGCCAGATTAACTCTTCTGGGGTTCCAGGGTTAGTGGATTTTGTAGACCCCTCCTAGGCTCTGGGTTGGGGCCATAAATGAAGGGTTCAGTGTGTGGGACACGGCTGTCAGTGAGTGGGATGGGGATGCAGGATCTGGGGGTGCAGGATGGGGTGATGCTGGAGTGTCTGGCCAGGGGGGAGGGTGCAGGAGTAAGGTGGGGGTAGGATGTCTGATCAGGGGAAGGGTGCAGGAGCAGGCTAGGAGTATGTGGTCTCATCAGGGGCGTGTGTGTGTGTGTGTGTGTGTGAAGTTGGGGGTGCAGACTCTGGGCATGAGTGGGTGGGGGGCACTTACTTGCCTTGGTGCCCCATACCACTCCCAGACATTGTGTCCCAGACACAGCCTCCTGCTGCTCCCATTAGTCAGAATCTGGGCAACGGGAGCAGCAGGGAAAGCCTCCAGCACATCTGTGCGCTGCTGTTCCCCCAGCCAAAGGATGGGGAGCGGCAATGTGCGGAGCCGCTTCTGGCTCCACTTTTTCTCCATGAGACAGGTCGTGCAGCAAGGCTAGGGGCTTTCCCTCCCTCCCCTCAGCAGCAAGCCAGTGCTGGAGCTCCAATGTTGCAGGTGGGTTGCGAGGCTGGAACACCAGTGTTGGCTTTGTGCTGTCAGGGGATAGGGGGGAGGAAGGAAGGGAGAGCTGAGCTCAAGCTGCAGACCACTAGTTGTCCACAAATAACTATCAGTGACAGGATAATGAAGCCTACTTAATAGTCAGATTCATTCACATTATGGATTCAGAGGTGCTGTGCATCTGCAGCTCCAATTGACTTCTACTGGAGTTGTGAATGCTCGCTGCTTTTGAAAAACAGAGTTGGACTGATAAAACTGACAGTGCAAAGTTCTTGCTACACTTGCTCGTATCTATAACTTGACTGCCATATTAAACATATTGGCCAAATTCTGCTTCCAATTTCTCTCTTGGAAATCTGAAGTAACTCAGCTGACTTGAACTGGAATATTTTGTACTTACTGTAGTAAGGGTGCAGATTTGGATTCATTAATTTCAGTGAGAATGCTACTTGCTTCCTAAATATACCCCTGAAAGAATACTAAATTGGTCAGTGTTAAACTTGTTTTGTACTTTAACTGAAAAATAGGTGCATTTTTTAAATTATTTGCCACGTTCTCATTTCTGATCAATTTACATCCCCTGTGTATGTAAAGCATTAATACCTATTACAACCACACTTCAGTTCTGGCCCAGATACTCCCACTCTTATTCAGGTGGCACATACCATTGAGGGAGAAACATCTTCTCACAGTGTCTGTGGACGATATGGCCTTTAACACCAAGCCCTCGGAAAAGTCAAACAAGACTTCCCTTTAATCAGTCTCATCCTTGGCCTCTCCGCTGAAAAGCTTTCCTGTTTGAAAGGGTGCTCTTCCTTTTTTTTTTTACTATAAGTATCCTCAGACCATGCTTCACTTGGTAGTTGCAATCTTCCATGGTCCCTTTTCAATGATTAAAGCAAACATCCCATTGACTTCAATGGGAGCATGAATGGGCCTCTGCCAACAATCATGTTTATTAAAAGTTGTAAAACACTTTGCTATTTTCTCATTTTGCTAGAGTAGTACAAAAGTGTTTAGGTACTTGTGTGGAGGCTATTTCACTTCCAGTAGGCTTCATTTCATTATATTAAAATGGAAATAATGAAATGTACATGAAAAAGTTTTCCTTTGAACTTAACTTGTAGAACTTACAACCAAAACCTTCAAAGCTTTTTAGTTAATGGCAAAGTTTATTCAATTTTTTAATAACAATGAAAAGACAAAACATTTAAAATTTGCAGTTCAAAACATGCACGTTCACAAAATGCCAATTACATGTAACACTGCATAGAACTGAAAGCATTACTAAAATTTGATAAAACACACAGGGCATTTAATGTTCATTTAAAACTAAACCTGAGAAAAACTACCATAAACACTGAGTCAAAAACTCTCCATTCATGCAGCTTCACAATTTCCACAACAGTTTCAGCAGTAATGGTTCAGTGGAGCTGGAAAATCCTACCTTACATTGAATGTAAACTTTGCTTTTACATAGTGGCTGCCTTTCACAGCAGTTTATACTTATGAAACACTGAAATACTTTATGAAAAAATCAAGTCAAACGAGAAAAACAATATTAATGCATTTATGGCTTCTAGTCTAGAATAAGGAAACATTAAAACATGATTTTAGTTTACATGTTCTGATCACAGCTTTGCAATTACTTATTATTGTATGCATGGAAATATGGTGTTTAATTCAAAGTACTTAAAAAACAAAGGGCCCAATATTGCAAATTCTTCCTCACACAATTAATCTCTATTCATATAACTAGCCCTATTGAAGCCAATGGGAGAAAGAGTTTGAGCGATCAGGCACAAGTTTTTTGAGTGCTAAAATATTCCTTGTTTAATGAAGATGTATCAGGCAACATTTATAGAACAAGAAAAACAACATTTGTTGCGTTTTGCAAAGAAAAAACATACCCAGTACTAAGTTAGAATTGACCAATTCATGAATTTCAAATCATTAACTTCTGGATACATTATAATGTGAATGATACACAAAAGCAGAAACATAAAAACTGCAACAAACCATGGAGCTTTAAAATATTAATAACACAGATGGGATGATTAACTCATCAAAACTACAGATGCTTTTACACAGTATAAATCAAGATAAAAAATGGTAAGATGCTATTTTCTCTTCCTTCAATTTATTATATATTCCCATTGAAGGTTAAGGCAACAAAGGAAGCCCCTTGTGATATTTTGTAAAATGTATTTTTGTGATGAGGATTTTATAGGAATCTTTAGATATCTGTTACTGTCTCAGAATACTTTATAATTTTTACACAAATAGAAAGATGTTTTATTATAAATCTACTGAGGCTGTTTTCCACAAATAAGCCTACAATCAAGAATAGCAAAAGAAAGTCCAAATATAAATGGTGATTAGGCTTAATAAAATTATTAAAGAATAATTTACCTTTTCAATAAATGTTGCATTCCAATTAGTAACTCAAATAATATGAATACAAGACCAATTGATTTCTAACTGGCATTGTTGTGGCTTAATTGAAGGAACATTTTTAATGATAGTTTGCAATTGTTATGCAGTGCACATAAAGCAGGCTGCAAATTACCATGTGAATTCCATATTGGACTTTATTCACACAAAATTAAAGGTTTAAGTGATCAGAATAAATGCATTATGATTAGCTAGTGTAATTTGACTAGTTTTTTCAATTAAAATAAATACACGCATAACCAATGGCTCAATTTAACAAACACATGGTATACTAAATAAATAATATACTATATTTCTGTTCACTTTAACAATGTGCAAATAAACTGTATTGTGTACCCAAACTGATTTTTAAAAAAAAAAACCCTCTGATTTTCACAGGCACATTTTTGCTGAGGTGATCTTATATTTAGAACTGTATACAGAGTAAAAAAAAAACATTTTAAAAATAACTTTCTAGGCAGGGCTATTATTTCATAATTGATTACCATCAGACAATAAGCAACATCTAGGAGGTGCAAAAATATATCCAAAACAGACTAACTACTGGGGAATGAAAGTACAATATAAAAACAAAATCAAAATACATTTTGTGGGGCACAATTTAAAATTAAAATGTGTAATTGCGCAAGGATGACACACGGTGAGCTTATACCTGGCTTTGGAAATAGAGCAATATATAACATTAAGTAACATCACTAGCCAGAATTCCAATATATGTCCAGGCGCTCAACAAGATGTGCTAAAATTCCTCTACCTTCTTAGCAATAAAGCAAAATTGAATGGGAGAAAACTGCATGTCATTTCTGTCACCAACTGTAGGTAGCTGGGCATCTTAATTTTATTAATTCTTGTAAATATAGCACACTTTATTTTAGAGCAGGATAAAACAAAATAAGTAAAGCTGCTGGTAAATTTCTTCACAACACAATGGTTTACACTACATTTCTTTGCTTTACATAATTTTTTCCAAATCAAAATTTTTATGCATTTTACAATGAAAAAAAGATTTTTAAAAATGCATTTACTTTTAAAGAGAGTCATGAATTTAATTTTTATATTAAGTACACTGAGGATGTCATTTCAGAATTGTATTGCAGTCATTCTTTAATGTCAAAAATAGGGGATCCATATTTTAAGAAAGGCATGCCCCCAATTTTTTTCTCGCCTTAGGTCAAGTGGTATGGCCCTCCCATATTGAGCCATCTATTTATCTATGCATTAAATGGCTTTTCTGAAGGCAGTTCTTCTCTGCATGACTGACTAGCAGTGCTATTTGTAGTGGAATACATTTTCTTTGTCCCTGTGTATTCTGTTTCTTTTGCACTTAAAGATCACTCCGGAAAAGGGAGGGAAGAGAATGCATAATATTATTATGAAATGTGGAGGGCCATTCCATCAATATGTCTTCCTAAGTATGTACTTTCATAAAGTATTTTCCTTGCACGGGCTTTGATATATGATGTGATTTGTATATTTTCTTAAAATGAGAGGTAAGGAAATTGTGTGATGCAGTGAAGTGAGAGGTGGCATCTGCACAGGATTGAAAGGCAAGGGGACAAAGTTTTATTTTTGATAAGTATATGAATAGTCAAGAAATGATTGGTAGGACATGGACTAGCTGAAGAGCTATACTGCTTGTTATTTACAATCTAGATTGGATGATTTTGAAGACAAAAAGTAATAAGAATAAAGATCTTAGTAACCTGAAAGGAGAATGGAAAATCTCTGCTAGTCTGAACATTTTAAAAGTGAAGCAGCATTTGTCTCCACATAAAATACATTTAAAATTGAATCATTACAGTGGACTTTTTAGGTCAGTATTAAAACAGACTGAAACTTTTACAATAAGTTAAACTGGCCTGTGTTTGTGCCATTGTCATAAATAGATGTAACCTTTGAAGAAATCAGGCCATCATTTGATAGTGGGCAGATACATACCAAATGTAATTAATACTTTAAAATTTCTTATTACAGTGTTCTCTTGGTGAGAAGTACAACTGATACACCGCTGAGCTGAACAAACTGGAAAATTCTATTTTCTTTTGTGCAATTTTCCCTCCATTTTTCTTAAAAGCTGAGAGTATGGAGGTTTGCTATGTTTCAAATAAGCTATAAAGAACTACTACTACTAAAGTATATTTGAGTGCATAGTAGGTACTGCCTCTGGTGCAAATGGAACAGTACATGCCACACAGAGCTACAGAACTTACATTGCATTAGCAAGGCATGTTCCAGATAACTTTAGAATAAAGACGGTGACAAATCACACAGATATCTAATCTGTTTTTATGAATTAGGACAAACTTTTCTGACCAAATGTGCATACAAAACACAAACATTGAAAAATGGCTAAATTTTTATGCATTTTTTTTTTTGTAATTTGAACAAAACTTGTAAATATGAGCATTATACTAAAAGGTGGCATTTATATTAAACAATAAAAAACCAAAAAGCTTGTATCAGACCAAAGGTTGCAAAGTTTCACAGATTTAAAAGCAAATGCCATAAAGGCAATTTGAATTAGGCTCATTATGCTGTATTTTTATCAAGTATGGAGAATCAAACATGCAGTTCTAACATCAAGATTTTTAAAGTTCTCTGCAAATAACCCTTGGAGATTTTTGAGAATTGCAATTATGGAACTTCTTTGGCAAGCATATATTGTAGGCTAGTTTGACACAAACACCTATAAACACCTTGGTTTGAAATTTTGCTTTATATGGTGAGTTAACACCACTAAAATGTTGGTTATTCAGCACTTATTGAAATCAAAGGTTTGATACCAACCAACTGTACTTTAAATGGACTTATGAACCTGTATAAATGTTAATAATCTATGTATAGTGGTAATTTGACCATTAATTATGTCCCATTAATTAATATAGCATATGAGCAATACTGATTCAGCCTCATTATAAATAAGCGACCTGCCAAAACACAAGGTAATTTTCTCTGTTTACAAAGACAAAGCAAACACTTGTTAAAATTATAAAGAGATGGTGTGTTACAGTAGAGTTGCACAGTGCTTATGTCTATTGAATACACTAATCCAAACTTTATGGAATAAGATCATCATGGATCTTCCTATAATCTTTGTGACTGTTTGCTGCTAGCAGATCCTAGCAAAGGTCTAGTAGTTTGTCTTACTTAAAGTAATTCTAAGGGCTTTCTGTCTCAACCTGTATTCCTTCACCATTCATCTGGTCTTTGTTTTGTGGTATCATACGCTCTTATTACTTCAGATTGGGAAACTATTCCATTTTCATCTTGAGAGAACGCATAGCCATCTGCAGATACAAAACAGAATAGTTAAACTTTGATTAGTTTCAGATATTCTATAAAATTGGAAGACTTCAAATTTCAATGCAAAATCACTCTTTTAAATACTAAGAAAACCATCTTCCAAGGTGGTGGAAAGAGAAGAACTCAAATTCTTTCATAATACTGGAAGACTCAGAGAGCACAACAAAAAATTTTCTGTACAGCATCCAAGGAATGAATATCAAATGACCTCATCAAAAGGCAACAGATTTAATTAAAGGTGAATATACATCACAGAATCATAGAAATGTAGGGCTGGAAGGAAACTTGAGAAGTTATCAAGTCTAGCTCTTTGCACAGTAGCAGACGTTTGTCCAGTCTGTTTTTTAAAACCTCCAATGATGGGAATTGCACAACATTCCTTCAAAGCCTATTCCAGATTTGAACCACACTTAGGTCTGATCTACACTAGGGGGCAATGCTGAACTGAGGTATATAACTCCAGTTATATGAATTGCGTAGTTGGAGTCGATGTACTTTAGTTCATGTTACTGCAGTGTCTCCATTTTGGGGGGGGGGATCAGTGGGAGAAACTCTCCTGTTGACTCCCCTTACTCTTCTAACTCTAGTGGAGTACCAGAGTCAATTGGAATGCAATCTGTAGTCAATTTAGTGGGTCTTTATTAGACCCACTAAAATCGACCTCCAGGAGATCGATCCCTGCAGCACCAATCTCCTGGTAAGTGTAGTCTAAGCCTTATACTTAGAAAGTTTCCTAACATCTAATCTAAGGCTTTGTATCTCCAGAAAACACTGGCAATTGTGTGACAAAGTCTTTGTCATTCACAGGTGTTCCACCGCTTTGCTCCCTGTCCCCCTGGTCTGTAGACCAGGGGGACGGGGAGCAAAGCAGAGCAAAGCCACGGAGCCCGAGGGCAGCAGGATAGCCACCGCGCGCCTGGGCTGTCCCGCTGCCCCCGTGCTCTGCGGCTTTGCTCCAGACGCCTGTGGTACAGCAGCTGGGGCGCTGCCGGTTGGTCCCGTAGCGCCGCTCTGGGCTCCACTGCACCAGCCCAGCAGCACCC